TTCACTAATCGTTCAGAAAATTTCTCCGCTTTCAATGAAGGGGAATCTATGAATTTATCTCCTTGCCATTCGGCCTTTCAGTTGCGCCTTTTATTTTCACTAAAGTTCTTGCGTTCGATTGTCAAATCGCTGCGAAGAAAGTTTTCATTCAATTGTTTATCTCGATGATTTTTTACTTTTAGATGCCTCCGTCAAAGAATGTCAAAATATCCACGCATCAATGAATTTTTTAACATCTCTAGGCTTTCTAATCAATTATGACAAGTCTCAGCTCACACCATCATTTAGATACTTAGAATCATATTCGATTCCGTCTATCAATTAATCGCCATTCCGCCGGACAAGAGAAGGAAATTCTTTTTCCTGATAGACAGATTTTTACGAAAGTCGCATTGTATTATAAAGGAATTCGTGAGACTGGATTAATGGTTTCAGTTTTTCCGGCAATGCAATGTAATAGTTTGCTTATACCAAGCATTTTGAGAGGGGAAAATTTTTAGTCCTGGAATCCGTTTCAAGAGACTACTCGAAGCAGATGGCGATCCCCTCTTATTTACGTATGGATTTTGAGTGATGGCTCCAGGTCTTCTTAGATTTTGACTAGTACAATCCTATCCGCTCAGAACCCTTCGTCTGCGAAATATTTTCTGACGCATCCCTTACCTACTGAGGAGCCTCTTGCGGAAAGCAACATACTCACGACTGATCATGACCCTTCCTATTAATGCCTTGGATCTGAAGGCAGCTTTTTACATTGAGGTGCTTCGCCAGCGACTTTTTCAATGTCAATATCTTACTGCAGATTGATAACACCACTGCCATCTCTTATATTAATAAATTCGGTTCTGTCCAGTATCCTCTTCTATCTAACATCGCCAGAGAAATATGGCAATGGTAGAAGAGCGAAACATCTATCTTTTCGCCTCTTATATCGCTTCAATAGACAATGTCATCGCGGATAGTGAATGGAACGCATGGAAAGTTCTAGCACGGAATGGTCCTTATCGACCCAAGCGTTCGACCGAATTCAAGCATCATTCGATTCATTTGATATCGACCTTTTTTCCTGATTAACGCAAAAAATGAGACGTTCTTCGATCCAGACCCTATCGATGCCTTCAGTTTATCCTGACAGTTTTTCTGTTTTTTTTTTTGCTTTTCCTCTCTTTATTCTGTTTATTAAGGTATTATGCAAAATATGGGATGACGAAGCCACAGGAATCTTGATTATTCCATCTCAACCGTGTTTCGCCTTCTACTCTCAAAACTGTTATTCTTCGCTCTGTCTCAATCACTCTTATCCTCTCCTTCCAGGCCTCAACATCCGGAGTGGAAAAGCCTTGGCTGCAGGTACTGATATCGCAGTCGATTCCTTCATCAGCTCTAGAAATCATGATTACTTCTTTGTCTGTAGCAATGATCAACCAATATTCTCGACCCTTAGAGACCTGGTGGAATTTTTGTCAGAATCACCGGATTTCATCGGATTTTGACTCTGAAATAAATCAGGTTCTCGAATTCTTATCGAGAGTTAGAAAATACGAATTCGTATACGTTCTTTAACACTATGTAATCAGCAATCTCCCTCATTTCTAATAAAGTAATTGGTAGCCACTCTTTGATCAAACGGTTCGCAAAAGGGCGAAGCCTCTGCTCTCTGAGTGCAATTCCTCCTGCGCGAAGCCTCACAAGGCGATTGGAATCCAATCATAATAATAAGCCGCTGGATTCATAGACATTTAGAGGAATGCGGGGTGCAAGGAGATCTCTTTTCAGCCCATTGCACCCGGCATGCCTCTACTTCCCTAGCTGCAAAAAGGGAATCTCTCTGGAACTTACTAAACGAGTGGCAGGTGGGTCTGGCGAATCCCGAGTGTTCGCGAACTTTTATAATCGTCAATACGAAAAGTTTCAGTAATTCAGTTCTGCTATCCTAAAAGGATCTGACTTCCCGGATGTATAAATATTATTAGATACTTAGCCCTAACTTAAGGGAAATAGATTGTTTTTTATTTTTTAAGACTTATTTGTTACTTGCAACGTTTTTTATCTTACTGATATTGTACTGATATTGGGCCTCATTAAAGAAAGTTACTCGAAATCATGCTTTAAATAGCTACATAGTGGTCCATCCGGACGAGACTTGGATAATTATAAGATTAAATGAACTTACCAAGTGAAGTTCGATCTTAATTATGCCTTGTCTCGATCGAATGAACCTTCTACTCTCTAAGCACTTACACGCTCCTTCTCATCCATTTATATGATTTGCCTCATTATATTTAAATAATGAGCAATAGATGTGGCGCAGTTGGCGGCGGGAACGGGAAGCGCCTTCAACTTTTAGAATTTATGAACTCTGTTGGTAATGGGAGCATGACTACATAGTAATCCATCCGGAGACAAGGCATACTTAACATCGAACTTCACTTGGTAAGTTCATTTAATCTTACAATTATATAATAAAGCAAGTAGCCAAAAAATGAGAAAATATGGATCTAATAAAAATATTGAACTATATTCAAAATAAATGAAAATGCCTTTTCAACTCACAGAATCTTTCTCAGTAATGGTCAGTGGTCATGAAAATTATCACTTCACCGTATGCATCAATAAGCCAATAAGAAATGTAATATATGTAAACATATATAAACATATAAACAATATTAAAAATGATATTAAGAAGCCATATCAGAAGCTAGATTTACTCACATAATAAAAAGCTAGATTTACTCACATAATATAAAAATAATAATTTATAAAATATAAATTATATCAAATAATTTTTCAGTGATCACAATAATAAAAGATAGAGTCTCATTGTGATTCGTAGTTTTAAAAAGATGTAGTTAATAATCATTTCTTCAATCTCAGAAGAAATGTCAAATTTCTCGACAAAATTTTAAGCTATAAAATTAGTAAGATAAAATAAAAGATATTTATGTAATTAGAATGGTAAGAATTCGAACCCGTGAAATTTTAGCTTCTAAAAGTTATGTAATAGACTTTTTTTCTGGAGATCGATTATATATAACTTTTTCCTTAAAGCAAAAATGTGAAAAGTTTCACGTAAACTCTACGATCATCTACGATGTTTCATGGGATCATATAATAATTCTTCGAACTGCAAAATTGATCATGTGAATTTTTTCGCTATAAATCGTGATAGCAGAAATAAAACGAATATCTGGGGAATTAATATAATACTTCGGAATTAGAATAAGTTTAATATAGTCGTGTTGTTCTCTGATAAATTATTATTTCAGGAGATAATAATCTATTAGACTTTAAAAACGAACTATGAGTTTATTGGTTTAAAAGCTAACGCTCCAACTATATTCATAATCGTTATGAAGAAATTTTACGTAAAATCTCGAAAGTAAAAAATGAAAAATAAAAAATGAAAAATGAAACATGAAAAGTGAAAAATAAAAAGTTTCACTTGAAATTATGATTGATCGAATTGTTCTCTATATGGATCTCTTGATAACATTTTTTTCTATATTTACAATACATTTCTTATTGGTTTTTCGATATGATTAATTTTTATGTTCAGTCTAAGAACATTATTGAGGGCATGTGAATTCAAAACAAATCCATTTTTCATTAATTTTCACAAAGTGTAATACTTTTATTATATCTATGACCGAAGTCCGATTCATGCTAGTAACGCTTTAAAATCACTTCCTTGTTGTTTGTTAAAAATGTTAAACGAAAATAGATGTTGCTCATAAATGTTATCAGCATAATCGGATCACGATTTATATTTGCTCGCTTTTTTTCCTATTTGTTTTATATTGCATATAAGCTTGCTTGATATAGTATAGGTTAACTTTTATATTAATTATTAGCTTAATTAGGCTTAATTAGCATTTGATATATATGATATTCATCGTTTGTGGATAATTATGATAAATAATTCAACAATTAACATTATATCATACAGATTGTTCATCTGACTCAATTACATTAGTTTATTGCTCATTTTTTTGTTTATTTTGTTAGTCATAAAGCAAAATATAGAAAATTGTAGTCGTGATGTAATATAATATATTTTGTATAGGTAAGTCATTGCTTTCTGTAATTATCAAAAGATGATTATTAATTTCTGTAGTTCATATTATTGTAATTCTCTATTTATACAACACTATATTTAGTATATTATATTATAAGTATTTTTATCATAACGTTTTGTTTATAAGCAAACAAAGGAAACTCTTCATAAAATAGAATCAATATGGTCAACCTAGACATATTAAGTGTACACATCGCTTGTAACATTTTTTTTACTCCATTTTTGTTATTCCAGATTATGAATAAGTAGACAAGTAATTAAATAGATAAGTCAGCTGGTCTTTAGAAAATCTTTAGAAAATATACAATTCGTATTTTTGCATATCAATAAACATTAACAATATGTCAATATGTTAATAAACTTATAATTCTATGAATATTGGATCAATTTATTTTCTATTTCTCTATTTTTTTTACGAAAATGTGGAAAAAGAGTTCCTAATGCTATTTTCTTAATCTTTTCTTACTGTAAATATTTAAAAATCTTTTATTTAAAAATCTTAAAATTATATTTAAAAATCTTTTATATTTTTTTAACATCCAAAAATATTTCTTCTTTTGACAATTTTTCTTCTAACAATCAATTTAAGACTCAATTTTTCAGTTTAAGACTCAGTAAAAAATTAGAAAAAATTGTAAAGCTTAGGTCACGTATAGTCCGATTACTTTAATTATTATATTTTGCAAATATAATATAAAACTGTAATAAACCTTGTAGAACTTATTTGATATCAATGTGGTTCAATATAATGCAAATTAGTTTTACTCATCATACTTGTCATTTTACTGCCATAAAAATGAAATATGTCATTGTCATTACTGTAGAATAAAGTTAGAATATGAATTGTCTAAAACACTTTCTTTTTGTAATACTATATATGAAATTGTACATTTTAAGGACATCTTAAGCACAATAAATTTCGCACCTGATGGGATCTTCATCCATAGGATCTTGCAGGATTGGTTATCCATATCGATCTGATCGTTGGTAATAATCAATCACGTGAGGAAACGCAACCAAACAATTGACTCAACTGACAGACGAACGACGAGCACCTTATGAAATGAAGTACACGTCATTACTGAAATACGTTAAAATGACGTTACCTTCTATATAAACGAGCACGAAGTTCGAGCCAGTTTGATCTTTCGCCGCCGTCAATGTGACTATGTTACGTTATCTTATTATGCCTCTCTTATTTGTCTTTTTCCTTCCACTTAATACATGTTTAATATGCTTTATATGCAATGTGTCTATATGCAATGCTTGAATAAAAAAAATTATATTATATAAAAAGGCTGTATCACTTCAATCATTCCCACGATGGATATTATTTTTGATCGTGATAATGTTTTCTATCGTATTTAATGTATTCATATATGCGATCGTTTCTTAATGATATTATTTCATTTTCCTATTTCTTCGTAGAATTAAATTTTATGTATTATTTATCTTATTTATGATTTATTTATCTCAAATTCGCCGATTACAGAGACTTCCACGGAAAGAATTATTTATTATATACACATATATATATATATATAT